TATAATATAGAAAGTGTATTGGCTCATGTGATTTCAGCCTAGGTTAGGACAGCTAGCATTGCAGGAGTAGAATTTTAACCTTTGGCAGGAAAGAAAGAGTTCAGCTTCTACACACGTAGGATCCCTGAGTGCTCTGTTTTAGAAAAATTAAAAATGAGCACTTAGACTCTTTTAAACTGCTTTTACACTCTTTTCCCAGGAAGGGACTCCCTGGCTTTGCAAGTCTTCTGGATTTTGGTCAGTTTCCCTTCCTCTTGCGCCAGCCTCAATGGCTATTATTCTGGCTCAGAGTTCTATTCCATCTGTACTCAGTGACCATGAGCCAGAAATTCCACTTTGTTGTTTTGGTGCCTGAGGCCCCTGGGGTAGCTTCTAGATACATGCAGCTTCTCACCAGGGCTGGTCAACATACCTCCTGATGAGCAATCTTTTTTGTTTTCCTTTTTACACAGTTATAGATTTTGAATAGTCTGTCTCTTACCCTATTTTCCCCCAAAGTGCTGATTCTGCAAAATGAGAAATTTTTCAAGAAGCAGAATTTCTTGCATTAATATAGGCAAAAGGGGAATGGGATTGTTTACAACACACGCATAAACATTCCATACATCCAATACACCTAACAGACAAGTCTCAAGTACAGGAGACACCGCATAAACATAAACTCAGCTGCCTTGCCCCTCTCTCAAGCCCAGCCTCAACCATGCCCTCCAGAATCTTGTTATCTCTGCTGGTTGTTTAAACACCCTAATAACACTAGTGTGTGGGCAATTAGGGAGCAATCCTCATCCTGGCAAGACTGATCACATCCCATTTCTAGTGGTGAGCCTGTGGGCCAACAGTTCTTGCTGGGGCTAGAGCTAAATCACTGAGGATGAGGAGTGAGGGTGATCCTGGCGTGGTAGGAGAGCCCTGCCATGGGCTCAGGTCCTCTGCCCTGATCATCCTACTCTCTCTCAGGGTGCCATCACCACCAGCAAGGAATGCGTTCACTAGACATGGACAGGATGAAGCAGGATGCTCAGAAATTTTCCAGACTGAACCCTTTGGGGAGATGAACCTTTGTCACTGATGCCTAGTCTGAACTCCACCTTCTTGCCCTATTCTCCTCACCTGAAGCTGGCATCTAGACACCTGTCCTCACCTGATGCAGTCTTTATCAGGCTAACTCTAATAAAATAACTATAGCTTAGCTCTATGCACTGTGTCCATGTGCTGTGCAGGAAGAACATGAGGCCTGTCAGGAGATCTTGGGAAATGGTGAGGAGAAGTAACATGTGTGCTCACTGAGAGCATGGGGCCTGGAGTCAGGTAGAAATAAAAATTTATGTTCACATAAAAACCTGCATACCAATGTTGATGGCAGCTTTATTCAGATTTCAGTTTATCACAATTGGAAAGAACCTTAAGTGTCTTCAGCTTGTGAATGGATAAACAAAGTGTGTGCAACTCATACAATTGAATACTACTCAGCATAAAAAAAGGAACAATCTGTTGGCACATGCAACAACATGGAAGTAACACAAACATATTATTAGTAAAAGAAGCCAAACTCAAAAGACTACAATTATATGGTTTATTTATATACCATTTGTGTTACATTTGGAAAAATAAATGAGAAAAAAATTTTAAAGTAATTACAGGCATTAAGCCCTTTGAAATACTGACCTGAACAGACATTTCTCCCAAGAAGACATACAAATAGCCAACAAACATATGAAAAGATGCTCAACTTAACTAGCTATTAGGGAAATGCAATTCAAAACCACAATGAGATACCACCTCACACGTGTTAGAATGGCTATCACAACAAAACAAGTAATAACAAGTGTGGAGAGGTTGTTAGGGGAAAGGAACCTGCATACACTGATGGTGGGAATGTAAATTGTTATAGCCACTATGGAAAACAGTATGGAGTTTTCTCAAAAAAACTGTAATTTTCAGAGAAACTTACAAATGTGTCCTTTTCCTGTAACAAGTTAATTTCTCTCACGATCCACATCCAATCCAATAAGAAATCCAGTGGGACATTTTTTCAAAATATATTAAGAATGTGAACATTTTCATCACCACCACAGCTGCCACCTGGTAAGAATTACTTTCCTGCTCACATGAATCACTGTATTATCCTTCTAAATGCACTCCTCATTTCTAATGTTAATGTTTATGCTCAATACAGGGGCCAGTGTGATCATGAATAGCATAGTCAGGTCCTGGCCCTCTACTGCTTAAATCACTTTCATGGCTCTCAGTTCACTCAATGTAAAATGAAATCCTTAAAAAGTCTGCACTGTCTCACATGCCTTGGCCCTGTTTCCTCTTTTCCCACTCTCCTCCTCATTTGCCTGCTTCCACTGGCACCTATTTCTGGAATAGGTTAATTCTGCCTGTTTTAAGATCTTCTCTTTTCAAGAGGCTTATTGCTCATTTATTCTTTGGAAGAGAAGAAAAGCCACAGCCCTGTTCTTGTTTTGAGGACCCCAGTATTATCAGCACTCCTTCAAGCTGATAATATTATTTGTGGAGACATTTAGAAATGTGATAATGTCCTGGTATATATATTTCTCACATAACCTATGTTCTCATGTCTAGTTCAACAAGAAAAAATCACTGTAGTTCTTCTTGAAAATTAGTCTCACTACTTCTAACAATTCTCCACACAAAGAGTCACAGTAATTTGTTAACAATATAGACAGGTGCTGTTCTTCTGTTTAAATTCCTGTTAGGGTTTCCCAATTTACTTGTTGATAAATAAAAATGTCTTTAAAGTGGCCTGCAATGCTATACATATCTGGCTCCTGTTATATCTCGTTACTTATCTCTTTCTATAATCCTCTTCACTCACCTGGTTGAATATACACCAGCCTCCTTGCTTTTTCTGGAATGGAACAGAAATAATTCAAACTTCAAGTCTTTGACATGCCTGTTTCCTCTGCCTGGAACTTATTCCACAAGATAACCACAGGGTCCACAGCGTTTAGGCCTTTACCTCCTTTAATATTTCCTTAAATGCCCTCTTACTTTCCTTAGTAATATATTCCTCATATCCAAGAAACAAAAACAAAACATTTTCCATTTCTTAACACTTTTAATGTTTTCTTTTTCTTACAATTACATGTATCACATATAAAATATAATTTACTGTTTTGTCGTTCATGCTTACTCTTCATCTTTCTTGACTAGAATGTAAGCTCTGTGAGGGCAGAGGTCTTCGTATCTTTAGATTCTGATGTGTTCCTTGTACCTATAACAGTGCCTGGAATATAGTAAGGATTTAACAATAGTTCTTTAAGCAGGGAATAAATACGACACTGTTAAACAAAAAATTATTCATGGCACTTGTTAAAAGTGATAAGGCAAAATTTATTCAGGACCATGGCAATAGGCATAGGGACCACTGCAATGGGGTTTTGTAGTGAGGGAGAGAGATTGGGCTCAACTCCAAAGACAGTATGGGCTGGTGGGAACTTATAGCCAAGGAATAGGATAGTGTTGGGGGTCAGTGGATGGAAAATTACTGAGAGGAACATCAAGGGTTTCAGGGGATTCTGGCTATAATGACCTAACAGGACTCTTGCTAAAGATGGGCCAAGGTGATCAACATCACCTGGAGATTGTAGAGGAGGAGGAACCTGATCAGATATCATGAATGCTCGGATAGCAAAGGCAAAGGTTCTTGCTAAACTGACTTAGCAGGGTTCTTGTTAAAACTGGATTGTAAGGAAGTGCACAGATGGGACCAGGGTTCGGGAGCCTGACGAAAGTTTGGTCAAGCAGAGAATCTTTGCCAACATCACCTATTCCCTGTTCCTTCTGAGTATTCTGGCAACTCTACCTGGATGCTCTTTTTAGTCCCCTTCGAGCTGGTATTGCTTGATGTTCTCGAAAATGATTTTTTAAAGATCTCATTTTACAAAATCAAAAGCCTTACAGTAGCCAAGTTTCCAGTGCAATTAGCTTCATTCTCTCATTTTTCAGATTTCAGTGACCCTTGATCAAAATACTGAGATTTTTAACCTTTTTTGCATCTCATGATATGTTTCCTCAGAATTATATTGGTCACACTTGAAGAAATATACAATAATTATTAATAGCTTTCATTTATTAGAGATTTCACAACTGTTTTTCTAAGATATTCTCAACTCCCAATGCAGAGTTTTTTTTTTTTTGGCTACAATTGCAGGTGAAATAATAATCACTTTCCAGTAAAGAAAGATTACCTAACCCTTTATCTCAGGGGTAAGATGCCCCCTTTCCACATGTCCTCCAACAGACATCACTGCATATGCTGTCCCCACAGGAAATTTCACTTGGTATAAGTAGCTCTCTTTTTCAGATAGATATATCCCGAGATATTGCCAAATTCCTAAGAAGCAATTGAATATATCTCAGGATACAGAGAAAAACATATTATCTGGATAAAACGCTCCTGGGTTGGACACCATCATTAATTACATAAGCAGGGATGTTTACTGTGGGAACCAGCAGCAGAGCTCCACACTTGACCACCTGCTCAGATCACCCAATATCCCTTCCCTATCTTCCCCATTATGACCTTGTCTGATTTTTTCTCTTGCCACTGACCAAATATACTGAAGCCCACAAAACTGACTTCAGTCCACATGTATTTGAAGAGCAATGAGAAAATATTTATTAGCTTCCAAGTACTCAGTGGATGCACTGCGTATTAGACTGACAAATCTTCATGTGTATTTTGATTTTGCAGCTTTGGTAAGCATCTGAATGATGTCTCGAAATATGACTGTGTTCAGTTGCAGACTACTCTCCACGGAAATCTCTATGCATCCCTTTTAAAAGCAGTGAGACCCCATCTCTTCATAGTCTCTGGAATTTTGGGGCACCGCTTCCCAGTGGCTCTCACGGTACATCTCTGGCCTGTGCCTGGAGGTCTGAGGCGTGCGCCCCTCGCCCAGGGCCGTGGCCCCGTGGGAACTACATTACCCAGATGCCTCTGCGCTGTGCGTCTGCGGCGCTGGGCCAGGTCGAGGAGAAGGACATTTTAGTACCTTGCAGAATACGTCAAGGGGAGACATCTGGCATCTTCCTGGCTGCGGTGATTTTGTTTGCCCTTGAGTGGGCCAAACTGATCAGATTTTTAACTCTTGATCTCGCCCAAGGTAAAGTAAGCGGGAAGGGTCAAGGAGACGTTGACCAGAGCGCATATAGGCGAGTTCGTGACTAGGAGAGGTCGTCTCCTGGGGTGACTCCGGGCGGGGCATGGGTTGGGGTGGGGTTTCGTCTGAGCCCGCGGCACCCGTGTCTCATAGCTTCTCCCCCGCCTCCGAATCCTAAAGCCCGGAACGAAGGGTGCCTGTCCGTGTCAGCCTTGTCCCCTTCGTTCAGGACAGTGGAGCGTTCCCGGGTGGAGTCCCTATTTCTGACACCCAACGGGATGAGGAGTAGAAGAGTGTTGCATGCAGAGGGACCAGCATATGCAGAGGCCTGGAGATGCGACTGAGGAGCATTCAGAAAACCTGCGGCGAGTCTGCTGTCTGTGGGGAACATTGCGAGCGGATTAGCCATATGTGGAATGGCAGCCCCCGTACAGCTGGGCCCGCATTCTGAGGGCCCTGGTAGCCATGGAGGGTTGTGAGTAGAGGGGACTAGATATGAGTTAGAATTTTAAACGGATGCTCAGAGGAGATCAGACTTGAGGGCAGGGGGTTGATTAAAGTGGAGATGGGGTGACCTTGTGGAGGCTAATGCAACAGACTCTGTGAGAGTTACCATGGGAACTGGACGGGAGAGGTGAGAAGTAATCCAATTAGATTTTTTAAGGATAGAAAATCAGCCTGCACAGCATCCCCCCTTCCCCATTTTTATCATAGTTTATGAAACAACCACTCATTTCAGCATTGGCAATCAAACACTGTAATGTATGAATTGAAAAGGTTAACTTTATGCAAGCACTTGATATTTAGTTTACACCTTAATATACCATAGAGCAGTATATTAAGACACTACAAAGTCTTAAATACTACATTTAAAAAAACACTTAAAAAGTAAGTATAACACACATCTAAAATTTCAAAAACTCATCAAATAATTTGCACTGAAAACATTGATAAAAGCCTTAATTCCATGGAGAGTCGTAGTTCATATTTAACACTTGACATACACTAGTGCATTTGATACCAACAGTAGCCTTATGAGGCTGGCACTGTTCTTATGCCTATTTTACTGATGAAGACACTGAGGTACAGGGAGATTGAATCCTCGTCCAAGGTCACACAGCTAGTAAGAGAGCAGCAACGACTGAAGCCCAGAAATTCAAGACAGCTGGAGTTCACCTTGTTTCAGGGCAGATACAGGAGGTTGGATCAGACCCCACCATGGATACTCTTCACTCATAGTCTCACTTTTCCCACAGGTTTCCATGGCTTTAAAAGCACTAAAGAGCCCTGCACAGGTGAGTAAAGACGGTCTTAGGCTCTTACCCTCTCCATCTCCCACTCGTGGTCTCTGGGATGTATTCTGGGACTCTTTGCCTATCACTCTACTGCTATTGATTCTGAGGCCTCTCCCTAGACTCAGGATCCTGAATCCAGGCCAGAGGTTATATACAGGGCTCCTGATTTCTGGCCACCAGTAGGCTATCCTATGGAAGATATTGTAGACATAGGGATCGCTATGTGCAAATGCCTGGAGGTGAGCAACAACCACAATACTCCATTATGTCTTGTGGAGAGCTGGGATGCAGGAATCGAGCCTGAAATGGCAGGATGAAGGATTGTGTCTCTATTCTGAAGGTACTGGGAGCCATGGAAGTTTTGACATAGAAGATGGGAGTGTTCTAAATCAGATATTAATGGACTTTCTCTGGGTGCAGAGTGAAGAACAGACAATAGGGCTGAAGGAGGTTACTGCAATAGTCTAGATGAGTGTCAGTGACAGCTCCAGGTGACAGCACCAGGGTAGTGGCTGCTATATGGGAGAATATGTGTAGCTTTTTTTTTTTTTTTAAGTAGTTCCAACAAAACTTTCTGATGTGGAGAGTGAGGGAGAAGGAGAGGAATCAGGGATAAGCCAAAGTTTTGGCATTTGCAGCTAGAAGGAAGGAGATACCATGAACTGAAATGGGAAAGTCAGTTGTAGGAGTAATTTTCAGAGGGAGTATCAGGAGTTAGGTTCTGGCCATCGGATCTGAGATGTTGCAGAGATCGTCAAGTGGAGCCACTGAGTAGATAGCACACTGCTGTGGAGTTCAGGGGTAGAATTCAGGTTGGAGACCCCATAAGTTGGTGGCCTGTGTGTGAATCATGATAGAGCTGTGAGTCACATTTAGTAGGGGGCATCTTCAGGTCATGGTGATAGTGTTAGGGGGCAAAGAAGGGGAGGGCCAGATTGGAGGACTGGACCTCTCTTGATCACTTGAATGGGGCTGGTGAGCATCACAAAGACAGGTGAGGGAGAGTAGCAGCCGTGGGGGAGAAGTGAGTCTGGTAGTGGACCAGGGTCTCCAAGGGGGAATCGACATGGGATGGATGAGGAAGCAGGAAGCATAGCAGTAATGGAAGTGATATGACAGTGAGGCCAAGGTCAGTGCTTATTCATCCCTCTAAAGTCTTGTGGTGATCCTTGGTGAGGCCTGAGGGGTTCCACTCAGGCTGGCAAATAAGCTCAGGGACAAATGAGTCAGCTGGGAGAGTTCTAGGTCTGGACCGGGGAACCAGTGGTGCTGAGTGTTGAATGTTGGGTGGAAAAAGGGAGACTGAGACCAGTGAGGGGACATGGGTAGAAGAGAGCTTAAAGCATTTGACACCTGCATGTGGTTCCAGGTGGCTGAGGCTGAAGCAAGGAACCAGGTATGGTGGAGAGGCCTTTAAGACTGGGGTAGGGGCTTCCCCTGCCAGTGTGGGCCATCGGAGTGCAGGATGGAACTCTCTGGATGTCTTGTGCAAAGTGGCGTGTGGGGAGGCCAGGGAGATGTCTTTGGTGTGGGCTGGGGTGGAGGAGGTGGTGGGGGCTCAGAGATGTGAGGGAGGCATGGTTTACAGAGTGATGTACTCAGTGGGGAGAATGAAAACTGAAGGTCCCAGGGACTTGCTCCCAGCTTCTTAAAGGGGAAAACTGAGCCCATGTTTGGTTGTGTCTGGGAGGTGTGGTCTGGGAACCCCTGCTGGCATGGATAGCATTTACTTATTTGTCTACACACCTATAGTTGATGTAGGGTGACATTATAATAGGAAAGAGGAGAGAGCTGGTACCATTGGTATCTGGGCCTCGTGTATCCTGAGTTTTGGAGCTGGAGAGGAGAGTGGGCGGGGAGTAGATATTTGGGGAATAAACTGAGGGTACTGGTGAGAGAGGCTGCTTAGGGACAGTGCTTTCTCCATTGTGGCAGGGTGTTGTGACCTTTGAAGATGTGGCTGTGGACTTGTCTCAGGAGGAGTGGGAGCTTTTCGATGAGACTCAGAGACTCCTGTACCGTGATGTGATGCTGGAGAACTTTGCACTTGTGTCTTCACTGGGTAAGTCCCTCTCACTCACCCCGATATCCTTGACTAGGCTCTTTCCTTCCTCATTTCTCCAGGGCTCTCTCTTTCCTTTCTACAACTAGAGTATGAACATTGCTTCCTTTGTAGGTTTTCTTCCATAGGTGCCATAGGTGCCAGGCTGGGGTGAGTGCACTTCCCTCTCCTCTCCCCAAGCAGCCCTCAGCATCCCTAAAACCTTGCAGGGAAGGATATGGGGGATAGGAAATCTTGCAGTGAAACCAATTGATCTCACCAGACTTGGTCTCACCTTGACAAAGGGACTGTCCAGAATAATTGCACCTCTCTGCCCCAAATTATTCCCCCTTACCTCCAGGTGACATTTTCTTGTGCCTGACTATGCCAGGAATTGCAAGCACCAACATGGTCACTTCTTATGGGGACCACTGAGCTATTCCTATAAGATACTTCTCCAAGGTTCTTTTTGTAATATTAGTTTTCTTTCCTGTGGTGTGTCTTGGGCTGGATTGCTCCATGCTAGTGCTGTCCACTCACCTGCCTTATCTTTCCCTTAGGACTTGCATGTTCCAGGTTCCATGTCATTGCCTCACTGGAGCTGGGGGAGAGACGTAGGTGCCTGACAGGGCAGATGTGACTCCAGCCACAGCAAGAGGGGCCCGGTCTTGGGAAGTGGAAGGTGGGGGTTAGCTCACCATTAGGGCTGGGTTCAGATCATACCAGGAACCTTTCCAGTGCCTATCATTGTTTTCATACCAAGAACAGGAGTCATAGCTTATCTCTGTCTTTTAATCCCCCTTGACATTTTATCCACTTGTCATTTCCACTCTGACATCTGGCTAGGGCTAATCCACACCTATCTAGCCTTCAAGTCTCCCCTGTTCCTCACCACTGCTCCCTCTGAAGTGCTTCTCCAACACTGAGCTACACATAATGAGTTGTGAGATGTATACATATCCTAAATAGTCCTCGAACACCAGCTACTCAGTTGCAATTGACTTTCCTTTTCATTCAGTGCTTGTGTCACCAGCAGACAAGTCTCTCTTGAAAGCCATTTGCAGAGAAGAGAGCTGGAAACCCAATTTCTCCTTCCTGTGCTGCATCCCATTGCTGTGGCATTTCTCCACAGTAGACTACCCCAGTGTATGATCTTGTTAGGCTCAGTACTGCACAGCAGACCCATTCTCACCTTAGCTTTAGTCCCCTTGTCCTCCCAAAAGTCCTGTGTACTCATTACTGGGTTTGTAAGACAGACATTTGTGATGAGGCTGCCCCCTCCCACCAAAGTCTACGTGTACCTCACTAACATTTCTCTGCTTTCAGGTTTTTGGTTTCAAATGGAAGCTGAGAAGGCAGCTTCTCAAGGCGTGTCACATCTCAGGATTCCCAAGGCAGGTTTGACCACCCAGAAAGCCTACTCTTGTGGGACGTGTGGCCCTGTCTTGAAAGAAATTTTGCACACGCCTGAGCTCCAGGGCCTAAATCCCAGTCAGAAACTGCACCCATGTACGGCATGTGGGAGACAGCTCTGGTTCAGTATAAGCACTTACCAGCAACAGAAGCAGCACAGTGGAGAGAAACACCTCGGAAGGGATGAGGACTTGCTTGTTAAGGACTGCTGGGTCCACATGTCAGAGAATCCCTTCAAAGGTGGGGATGGTGCAAAGAACCTCCTGCCTAGCTTGGGCCTTCGCCAACACCAGACCACTCATAGCATGGGGAATTCACCCAGAAGAACTGAGTGCAGGGACACCTTTCACATTGGAGAAAGGCATTATAGGTGTGATGAATGTGGGAAAGCCTTTAGCCACAAAAATAGGCTTGCTGAGCACCAGAGAGTTCACACTGGAGAAAGACCTTATGAGTGTGCTGAATGTGGAAAATTCTTTAGTCATAACTCCAGTCTTACTGTACACCAGAGAGCTCATATGGGTATAAGGCCTTATGAGTGCAGCGAATGTGGGAAAGCGTACAGCAAAAGCTCTCACCTTCTTCAGCACAAGAAAGTTCACACTGGAGAAAGGCCTTATAAGTGCAGTGAATGTGGGAAAACATATAGCAGAAGCACCCACCTTGTTAGGCATAAAAAACTTCATATTGGAGAAAGGCCTTATGAATGCAGCAAATGTGGGAAAACCTATAGTAGCAAACACACACTTTTTCAACACCAGAGAGTCCACATTGGAGAAAGGCCTTATGCGTGCCGCAGATGTGGGAAATTATTTAGCTGTAACGCTAACCTTATTGTACATGAGAGGGTTCACACTGAAGCAAGACCTTATGAATGCAGTGAATGTGGGAAATTCTTTAACTATTACTCCAACCTTATCATACACCGCAGAATTCATATCACAGCAAGGCCTTATGAATGCAGCAAATGTGGGAAAGCCTTCATCTACAAACACAGACTTATTAAACATCAGAGAATTCACACTGGAGAAAGGCTTCATGAGTGTAATGAGTGTGGTAAACCTTTCAGACAGAAATACAGACTCGTTCAGCACCAGAAAACCCATACAAAGGAAAGGACTTATGAATGCAGCGAATGTGGGAAATTCTTTAGGCAAAGTTCTGGCCTTATTGAACACCAGAGAATTCACACTGGGGCAAGACCTTACAAGTGTAGCGATTGTGGAAAATCCTTTAACCGCAAAATCACACTTGTTCGGCATCAGAGAATTCACACTGGAGAAAGGCCTTATAAGTGCACTGAATGTGGGAAATTCTTTAGCCAAAGCTCTGGACTTATTGCACATGAGAGAGTTCATACTGGTGAAAAGCCGTATGAGTGCCTAGAATGTGGGAATTTTTTTAGCCAAAGATCCAGCCTTGTTTTACACCAGAGAGTTCACACTGGTGAAAGGCCTTATAAGTGCAATGAATGTGGGAAAGCCTTCAGCCTTAAATCCACACTTGTTCAGCACCAGAGAATACACACTGGAGAAAGGCCTTATGAGTGCAGCAAATGTGGGAAATTCTTTAGCCGCAAGTCCAGCCTCAATAAACATCAGAGAAATCACACTGTTGAAAAGCATTAAAGTACAGCGAATATGGGACAGCCTTAAGCTAATGGCCTTTCCTAATTTGGTACTAGAAAGTTTAAACTGGAGAAAGGCCTTTGGAGTACAGGGTATGTGCTATCTGGTTAATGTGAATGATACCAGGGAGCAGTTCTGAGAGTAGCCTTTATGAAGTATCCATAAATCAAAAGTTGTATTGCATACATCTGAACATCCACATTGGAGAGATTCCCTATGAGTGCTGGGTATGTGAGAAGCTTTTAGGACCTGCATTGTACTTTCTGACCTGCCCAAGACCCTTGCCTCAGTTAAATCACTGCTGATACCTGTGGCAGAAGCTATCTCACCTCTACCAGTTGGCAAATGTGCATCAGGTTACCCAACATACTCAGGGAAGGCAGATCTTTGTACTCTCCCCTTCTCTGGAAGAAATAAGTGGTCTAAAGTCATTAGAGTCCACCATAATTACATTTACACACTGGAGGTGATTAATAGAAAGTTGGGGTGAGCAAACTAGAGAGGATGTGTCCCATCTATTTCTAGTGGTTCTATATTCTATAAATATTCTTTTCACCACAGCAGTGAAGGTCGAGAATGTAAGATATCCTTAGGATTTCTAGATTTACATCTCTCCTATGAACAAGAGCAGAGCAAATCTTAAAATTTTCTGGATTCCTGAGACGACTTAGGCTACTTACCTCAAAGCCACTGTTTGTTACTCAGTTAAGAAAATGAAGACTGAGAGAAAAGAGATATTATATTCCACGGATGTGAATCACAATCTTTATTGCTTGCTAGTCTCCTTTCATTGAAGCAGGGCTGCCCCACTGGAGGTATGAGGATAGTTATGGTCAAGACAATAGATGTTCATCAGATCTCCCGGTTTTTCGGGACTTTTACGTAGAACCATTTTTTAAAAGCTATATTGAGATATAATTGATGTTCAGTAAACTGTGCACAAGTAAAGTATAAAATGTTTTATTGTATGTATACACCCATGAAACCATTACCATAACCATGATATTGTATATATCCATCACCCCAAAGTTACTTCATTCCCCCTTTACTGTCTCTCCCTCTCTGGTTCCTCATTCCCATGGTCATTGATCATAGTGATCTTTCATTATAAACTTTATTTTCCAGAATTTTATATAAATGGAATTTTAAAAATGTTTACTCATTTTTTTTTTGCCTCCTCCCTCCCCAAACAGCTTAATTATTTTCAGATTCTAACATTTTGCAGCTATGAGTACTTTATTTTTTTTAGTACAGAGTATACTCATTTGTATGGATATGCCACAATTTGTTTTCCTATTCATCTCTTAATGGACATTTGGATTGATTCTAGTTTGGAACCATTACAAATAAAGCTGGTGTGGCCATTTATGTACTAGTCTTCTCTTGGGTTAATACTTAGGAGTAAAGGGCTTGAGTGTCTCATTTGGACCCATGGCATTTTAACTTATGGAAGTGATCGAGTGCCAACATGGAGAGGTCAGTACCATTGAAAGAACCATTTATTATATTGCCCAAGGGAAGGGGAGCACACCATGCCACACAGAGCCATGTGGAGAACACCAGTGTTTGTCAGGAGGCTGAAAAGAGTGAGGGGAAGGCATAGGCCACAACTTTTATTGTTTTTTTGTGTTTGTTTTGTTTTGTTTTGTGGGAGAGGAAATGCAAGGCAGAATAAACAGTTTAGGATTGGTTACTTTGAATAATGTCAGCGGGTTTGGGATTAAAGGATTGGTCTCTTGTCATTAGGTACCTGGCCCTGGGATGATTTAGGGCAGGGGAAATGTTGGCTTGGTGCGTGAGAGTTAGCTAAGGAGATGGTTGGGGATATCGACTTGGATTGGTTGGTTTGCATATGAGAGACATGCTCCTGGCTAAACCATTTGCTGTCTCAAGAATAGGATAGCATGGGAGAGGTGGTCTCTTCCTGGCCAGCAAGTTTTTAAGATGTCAAAATGTTAAAAAATACAGAAAATAAAAAAACACGATAAATACACCAAGTCAAAGGGTAAGTGGATGTATGTCTTTTTATGAACTGGCAAACTGTTCCATTTACATCCCCACTAGCAATATATGATAATTTTAATTGCTTTATAATCTCACCAGTACTGAGTGTGGCCAGTCTTTTTAATTTCAGCTATTCTTGTTAGATGTGTAGTGGTATTCCTCTGTGTCTTTACTTTTATTTCCCTGATGACTAGTGTTCTTTAGAATTTTTACATACACTTTCTGCCATCCCTATATTTGGTTAAACATCTGTTCAAATCTTCCCCATTAAATTTTTTTCTTTTGTCATATTGAGCTTTGAGAGTTCTTTAAAAAAATTTTTATTTAAATTAGTTTCAAGTATACAGTACATGGTTAGACATCTATATAGTTCATAAAACGACCCCCCCAATTGCTCCTTACCTCCCCTGGCCCTCCACCTAGCCATTATACTAATGCTAACTGCATCCTCTCTGCCATGCTCCCCATCCCCATGACCAACTATCAACTACTAATTTGTACTTCTTTAACCCTTCACCCCATTCTCCCAGCCCTCCCAGCCCCCCCCCCTCTGTCCATTGCCAAATTTTCCACTATATTTGTGGGTCTGTTTTTGATTAGTTTGTTCTTTTTGATCCTTAGATTCCGCATATCAGTGAAATCAAATGGTATTTATCTTCCTCTTTCTGACTTATTTCACTCAGCATAATAACCTCTA